ACGCCTCCTACAACTGTCATCGCGCGGTCCGTTGCGTAAGGTGTGCCGGGGAGCACATCGTAGCGGACTGCCCGAGGCCGAGAGACGGCCCATTCTCCTGTGCTAATTGCGGGAAAGACCATTCCGCCGTCGACAGACGGTGTGCGGTCTACCGCAAACGGGCCAGGATGATGGGAGTAACCGTCCCTCCTCCTGCGCCACAGGCGCCTCGAGCCGGGAGTGCAGCTCTTCTGGCATCTCAACCAGTACCAAAATGGAAGGGGAAGGGGAAAGGGAAATCTTCCCAGCCCCCTCCCCTTTCCCACTCCGCTCCGTCTGCTGTGGTGGTGGAGGCGTCGCCATCGGTGTCCACACTGACGGCACAGGCTAACCCGCCACGGCAGACAACCAAATCCAAGCCTACTCCTGCTCCCCGTGGTCGAACTACTGCTGCTCCATTGCCACAACAAAAACCTTGCCCGACTAGCGGTCTTACGATAACAAAAAACAGGGAAAAGAATAAACGCAAAAAATTGAAAAAAAAGGCAAGGAAAAAGGAAGAAAAAGCAAGAAGGGGCATACCAGAGCCTATAGTGCCGGATCCCCCATCGAGAACCCATGTCGAAACCATGGAGGTCTCTGAGGCCTCCCCACCAGCCCAATTATCGACAACAAGCCCGCAATTGCCTTCGGCCCATCCGGCCGAAGGTAATATAGATAATTTAAATAGTCAGCCCCCCCTTCCCCCCCGCCCTCAGCGCGAGCGCCGCAGCGATCGACAGGCCTCTCAGCCTACCGGCTTTGCTGCATGGCTGCTGGCACTCTGGGATCTCCGGAGTCATCCGCGAGATCGCCTCGGGCGCTAGCCCTATCGAGCCTATCCTGTCTGGGTTCTACCAGTTGATAGCGAGGCTCAATGGCTAGCCAGGAGTTTCGCATCATCTACTGGAACCCCGATGGGATAAGATCCCGAAAAAACGACCTCTTGGTCCTCGCCCAGGAGTACAACCCTTTTTTTTTTTTTTTTTTTTTTTTCGGGTAGAGGGCCGAACCTCCTACGAGGTCCCCGCGCAAAAGGGGCGCGCGGGGTATGTGAGACTCAACGATCTGCATGGTGTTGTGAGCAGACCGCGGGCCCAAGGATTTTAGAGCCCACCCACTAAACGACTCCTCTGCACTCTTACACCCGACGTCCGATCCCCTCCGAGGTCAGAACCCGGATGAGGTAGGGGGGCTACCGCGGTCAACACTACAACCAGACGGCGCGGCTCACCCCAAGGACGCCCAGCCGACGGAGCCTTCGAGGCGAATCGAAGGCTCTGAAACGTCGGCCGTCTCGGTACGGCAGCCCGTCGGGCCGCCCAGACGGTGCCGCTGGTGTCCCGGAATACCCCGCTGGACCAGAACCAGCCTGCCGGGTCGGGACGCGATACACCGTCGACCGGTCGCTCTATTCACTCCACGGCAGCGCGCTAGAGTGCTGGTAGCGCGCCGCGCGGCCTCACCCCCTCAGGTCGCCCCTTGACCTTCACCGGGGGGAGGCCGCCACCTACAGGGGCCGGGACGTACGGGCGTATTCCCGCCTCCGGCCCCCGGCTCGACGGCGACGGATCGGTGCGGAAAGGGAAGAGCTCTCCCTCTCTCGCTCCGCCGCCTCCTTCTGCGAGATGGTGGACTCGCAGAAGTCGAGCATCGCCTTCCAGGACGCGTCGCTGCCGAGCATCGTAGCCACGACGCGCGGCAGCGAGAGGTCCTCTCCTATGACCGCGACGAGGGCGGCGCGTTGCTCGTCGAATCCAGAGCAACGCGCCATGTGTGTTCCGCTGTGTCTTCCTCGTCGCGGTCCGCGCAGTGGTGGCACTGCGCCGTCGGTTCCCTTCCGGCTATCTTGTGCAAGTACCGGCCGAAACAACCATGGCCGGTAAGCATCTGCGTTAGCCGGAAGGTGAGGCATCCGCGGTCGCGGCCCACCCAGTCCGCGAGAACCGGGCGGACCGCCTCGACGGTTCGGAGGCCGGCCGACGGGTCCGCCAAGCGGCGAGACCACGCCTCCAGCACGGACCGCCGAGAGTGGAGCCTCCGCGCTCGAACTACTCCTTCGCCGGGGCGCCCTTCCCCCCTAGAGCGGAGGTCGCTACGCCACCGGTAATCGGCAGCGAGCGCCTCCGCCTCCAGGTCCCAGGGTGGCGCCCCGGCGAGCAAGCACGCCGCCTCGAAGGAGACGGTGCGGTATCCTCGGATCGCCCTGACCGC